GGTTTTAGGTTAATTGATTATTTATTATATATTTTTAATTCTGAGAATGTCAGGAAAGTCAATCGGCGGAAGGATCTTTTTGTTTATGTTTTTTTTTTTAATTGAATTTTTTTCGAAAGCCGCGGGATAGGATCTAGGATTTTTAGTCCAGGAGTTGCGCTCGTGGTGCCTCATGGAGAGGACAATTACTCGGACGGGATTGACGTTATGATTTTGGATGTGAATCGATAGAGTTTGGCAACAATGGTATATTCCTTATAGCATTAGTCGTTCGGTACTTTGTGTCACTGCCGGGTGCACACCCGGTAAACATGTCACCGGAACGTGTTTGCAAGTGTTCGCTTTAAAATGCTATGCAAAGAGTCCGGAATAAAATCCGGGGGAACGTCCCACTTCCACTGGGGCCACTTCCACCTAGATGTTACATGGTATAACATGAAAGGCTTATGTACGTTCACTGCACGGTTTTTGGATAAACTCCAACCTCGTTTAAGTCGTAAATTTTTTTTCTATCCGAAACTCGAGAGAAATGGAGGAAGGAGGGGTTGGGGTGAATCAACTGCTTTTTACGGAGGAAGAGGGAAGAGAGAGGAATTTATAAAAAGGGCGGGGAGAGATATCAGGAGAGGAAGTTTCATAAATTGTGATAAAGATTGTTGCAATGGAGAAATAATGAGATATTCTGAGATTTTTTTAATTCTTCGCTTCAATTAGGATTTTATAATTATGGATTGGGTCGATTATTTGAAATTATTCGGTGGTGTTTAAATTATTAAAATTATTGGGTTATTACTTATTTTAAATTAGAACTCCAATTTTTAGTTATTAAATGGAATTATGTTACCATAGCGTTGAGGTATAAACAATATATGATTTTTGGGAATTTTCTAGGTTTTTACGAATTTGAATAAAAATCAGTCATTCCCCCAGTTCCCCACTAATTACATGAATAATTATTGTATTATATAATTATTATTATATTATATAAAACCTTCCAACATAATCTAAAAGTCTTAATCCAACCAAAAGCTGATAGATAACACCAATCCACTGGTCAGAGTGTCCCTCAAGCCGAATCAAGCATATTGTTGAAAATTGAATACGAAAATATCTGATTACGCGATAAATATCGTGAGCCCTTGTCCGATACCGCGGGTGGGTTAACAAAGTGGTATGAGCTCTTATCTTGTTATGTAGCTCATGGATATTGGATGGGTAGAAATTGAGATCGTTGATGGTGTGTGGTGGTGGTTTGGGGTGCTTTATACCTACCACCCACCCACCCACCGACAACGAATGCGTTCCCCTTGAAAAGTATAGCTGTCTCAGTTACCCCAGTGCTTCTGGATGTTGGGTTATACTGCAACAAAACTCTCAACGTTGGGCAATGCGTCTCTCGGTACAATAGACCGTCCTGTCATGTTTCATACCGTACAATGATACTCACTCTCACCCACCCTTGCACTTCGACTTGCCCATTCGCCCATTCGCCCGTACACCCATACACCCACCACCCCCCAATCCTCGTATCTCAAGATAATGTGTGCGAATCATCGCCGCATGTGCCTCGCATCAGAGAGAGAAAGAAAGCATTGAGTGTTTGATTGAGCCACTTTGAGCACTTCTCTCCCTTTTTTTTTTCTATCATCCTCTTCCTTTGTTTCCTCTACCATTTCTTCCACAATTAAATCATTGCGAGTCTCATTCCAGTTGGCGCAGGGACGAAAAAAAATTAACACAAATTTTCTTTTGGTGGGGGGGATTTTTTTGAGAGAGGGGAGGGAACCCTCGCTTCAGTATCTACACACGCGCGAGTACTCGAAAGCGATCGCGCGTTAAATGCGCCGCCGGGTGTACGGTCGCGTGTCGAAACGCGTGCCCTTTTCTGTAACCATTTTTGAAAAGGGAGAACGTTTTTGGGTTGGAACTGAGATGATCGGTCCGGATGTGGAATCTATACTGGTGCTGTGACTGGTTCTCTGTGATGGTGACTTATGTTGGGCTTCTCGGGCTGGGGTTGTCTGATGGTCAGTTTCAGTCCGGAAGGGATGTTCTTGGTTTCTTTGAAATACTTGTGGAAGGAAGACCTGAGGAAAGTGTTTGCAGGCAATTAGAACGGCTATTACTTTCCCAGATACCTCGATGGTGGGAGGGCCTTCGAATTTTTTCAGTCTTGATCTATTCAATTTTAAAACCTCGGTCATTGATTTGAGTCAATTTTTATTAGAGTATGAAAAATTTAGATTTGAAAACTGGAGGGAAAAACTTGAAAATTTGAACAACAAAGTGACGGGGAATTTTTGGGGAGGGTTTAGTGTTTAGTTTAGTTTAATGTTTAGTTTAATTCTTTGAAGTCATTCTGATAATTATTTATTTTTTCAGTCCATACGAAGTTTCCATTCATTTCCCAGAATTTTCAATTTATTGAGAATTTAATTGTGTTTGACGTGGAATTTTTACAATGACCCTAAAAATTAAAGATTTCATTGAAAAATCAATCGATTCACCATGAAAACCCCAATTTCCCTGAATTTTCCAAACAAATAAACAATTGAACTTGAATTGAATTGAAGTAATTGAAACTCCATTAAAACACATATAATTAAAAATTACTAATCACAAGTGACTTTCTGACTGAAATTTCAAGAAATTAACAATTAAAACCACAAAAAATTGCAATTACAAAAATTCCAATTAAACCATTAAAAAAACAACAAATAAAAAGAATAATTACAAACCATCGAATCCTAAAAACCTCCCCAAAAAAATAATCGAGACCAATTCTTCTTCTTCTGAAGTCGCACACCTCCTTGAGGCCCCAAAAATCCCTCAGTACTACCCCCTCCCCCTTGCCTCCAAAACCTTAAAAATTAATTGGAAAAAAAGGGAAAAAAAAAATGCCTGGAACCACCACCTGTCGTGTCAGTGGCTAGCTAGGTGGATAGGTTTTGGTCGTTGGGCTCCTAGCAACCGAGGCAAAAGCTGTACCCTCTCAACCCTCAAAAAGCCGAATACCCAAGTACTATATATTCACCTCAACGGAGATGGCGCTCCACTCATTAACACCATCTCCCAATATTGCGCATGTGTGAATATATCGGAGATGTTGGTAGAGGTATCCACAAGACCCGCCCCTGTCAGCCCAGTGGATGGCTGGTGTCCCAGGATTTAGCTCTCAACCCTCAAACCGTGCACTAGATACCAGGAGGTAGATTGGGGGGCGGGTCTGAATGAGCAGAGGACAGGGTCCTTCCCACCCAATCCACCCAGTATCGTTCGACGTGGTAAACCACGATGATCGCCTCAACGAGTACACTGACGTCGCGAGAAGGTGCTAATGATAAGCCCATTCGTTTGAATTTACGTTAATCCAAATCAATAAGTTAAACAACATCCACGATATGACAGAAATTCTCTTCAACAACTGGTGATCAAAGACTGAGTGTTGTACCCGTTATTTTAATTATTAAACAATCAGTTATTGTTTTCATTTATTTATGAGTTGTGGTGGAGCTGCTGTGGCTGATAAGCTACCTGGTGATTCAATTGGGGAATTGGAGGTGTAATTTATCACAGGGTGATTTAAAGTGGACTGACAGGGGCCGTTTTGGGCCAGTTACAGGCGGTGGAGCTGTCATCCACCGCCAGCGAAATGCTGGATCTCAAGGGGAGCAGTAGCACAGCTGCTGAATTACCTAGGACAACAGCTTTTACCAACTTGTCCATGCTTTTTGCTGGTAGGTTTATTTTATCAACTGAAATATGCAAAGATTGTCTTTTAAACTTGATACTCAATATTGTTTATCAAGAGTGAAGGAGTTTATACATGAAACAACTTCCTCGGGGGTCTCGGTTACTCTCCGAACTTGATTATCTATTTATTTATTTAGCATGATATAAACAAATTACGAAGTAGATGGAAGAGATGGAAGAAATGGAAAGATATGACTGTTCTCCTTTCTCCCTTTTGTGGGTGAACTTTACTCATTAGCTATTCAACTTTGTTCAATAGTTCTAATCTAAAAATTCTAATTGCTATCTAAGAGAAAAGATCTCAGAATAAATAAATTGATTTCTCCTATTAGACTGCAGATTTCACTTAGGGCCTCCCAAATCTGCATCTCATATCTTAACATCAGATTTTTACACGCGATCATCAGCTTCATTGGTTTAATTTAAATAAGAAACTCCGGGTTGTCCTCCAGAATCCCTTGAATCGTTCCTCACGAAACCAATCGTCTTCTGTGGAAATCCCTGAAAAGATTCGGTACATCATAAAATTTATTTGTTAAACTATTAATTATTTTAAAGGTGTGGAATCAGAAGCATTCATGTAATTAATCAAAATATCTGATTTCGGATTTAGTTGAGGGAAAAATAAATGGGTCAATGCCGTATTGAGGTTTTTGATAATCAATTGCATGAGGGAGATGCACTGATATTGTGATCCAGACACTTGTGAATTATTATTGCCTAGAGCCATTGATTACCCTCAAACAGCTCGACATCCTGGAGACACTCAGGTTACGTTAACGGAAGCACCGAAATCTGAGTCTTCTGTTAATGGACAGCGATAAAAGTCTGAGAGAAAGTGGAAAGGGATAGAAAAGGGCAGCCGGTATTCGCGTTAAGGATACACATGAGATGACTTGTTTGCCGATGAAGGGAGTGTATGGAGGTGTGTGCCCCTCGGTGGTGTCCAAACTCCCTTGGTCAATGGTCTCAACCCATCTCGACCCCTCGAGGCCTCGATATGTACACAATCGCGCCAATAACCGAGGCCAAATGAAAATATATCTGTCGGTAAACATACCGCCAGCAAAATTGGCGACGGTGTTACCAATTTTTTTTATTTCCGCTGAGGGAATCCACGGAATTGGACGTTTCGTTGGGAGAATTGTCCTCGGGATAGCTATCAGGGTCCATGAGTAATAACTTTAATTTCGTGATTGTTTAATGGTTATTTAATGGTTAATTGTTTGCTTTTTTTTGGTTTTTAGATGCCAGCAGTTCGTACAAAGGAGGCTGGAGCCACGCTACGTCCCCTGCTCCTGGTCAGGGTGAGCAATCCTTATCATTATTTGAATTCTTGTTATCGGGGAATGCATGGAGAATAATTTAGAGGGCGATTTATCACGTGGGGAAATTAGTAGTTTTTAGAGAATTATTTCAGATGAATGTTCTTATTTTTATTGGAGGCATCATTCATTTTTCATTTTTTTGTGACTAATATTACCTCAAGAATAATTCATGATTTTTCAGATTGTTAATTATTTAACAAATAATCTGCATGCTCTCTATTTTTTGTTTCAACTTGTCAACCAGAAAAAAAATGTCGGCTTCTCCATAAAAAAATCATTTCTAATTTTCGGCGTTGATTATTTTATCGTGTTATATAATTTATGTAATAATTTTGTGTACAAAATTGATTGATAATTTAAATTCTCTGGTAAATTCGCGTCTCGCATCACGTGAGAGTATACCAAAGGATCTAAAATAAAGTATTAAGAATTTCCAAATTGATATTTCGCCAGAATAATAAAAATATTAACATCAATCGAAAATTCTACGTAAAAAATTGACAAAACTAGTTCCTCGCCGTTGAAAAAGTAGTTCACGACGTGCATGCGTCAGCCACAATTTTTCCAAACCCCCGCAATGTATTTTTTTACAGCCATTCCCAGGCTCTTAAAACCGCGTCTCAAATAAAAGAATGTAAACCATTTCAAGACCATGCGAAAAATTATCCACAGTAGCTGTGAAAACCAATTGAACCCTGTAATTGGCCATAAAAATGTGTTTTTCCCACAGACGACAAAAAATTATTGACACCACATCTATAATTTTCCAAATAAAAATTCCCGAAACACTGCACCCTCAGCATTGCCAATAATTTAAAGAAAGTTGCATTGCTTTCCAGAAATAATTATCACCAGAAAAAAATAAAAATGGCAAATAGTAGACAAGACGAATGCCAGCACAAATAATAAATGCACCGGGGCTTATCAGGCAGTTTAGCGTTTCGAGTGCTTTTTACACCTCACCCTGGGGCTTTTTATCTCATTCTTGTTCTCTTTTACGGTCGCACATACCCTCTGTACAGAGGTGTAAGGATGCAATTCACAGGATGGTACAGAGAAAGAGGAAAAAAAGAGGGAAAAAGAGGAGCGGTTGGAAGTTGAGGGACACACAGGGCGTGGGCGTCCCGGCGCTTTGTGGCGCGTTGAACCGCGGCCCCTTTGTCGTCGCGAACACCCCCCAGGGTTAGGAAACCGGGAGTCACCCACCACCATTATCCACCCTGACATTCTCTCCTCTTTTACCTCCCCTTTTCCTCTCACTCCTACCACCATCCACTCCTTCCCCTCCTTCCCCTCTTTCCACTCCTTCCACTCCTTCCACTCCATCCACTCCTTCCACTCCTTCCACTCCTTCCACTCCTTCCACTCTTTTCACCCCTGATTCCCCTCACCATGGCGATCCTCCCACTCAATCCCTCCTACTTATTCTCTTCAGCTATCCTAGGAAGGTTGGCAGAAAGGTTGGCAGAAAGGTTGGCAACCAACCCTGTGACAATCATTGCGGAGATCACAGCTTCTGCCTGCGGGGGTGCTTGTTATAAACGCGTGAAAACGACTTTTCTCTCTTTCTCTCTCTTTGTATCTCGATTCATGGATGCTTGATTTCTCTCTGTGGTTCTCGATAAGAGATAGGGGACGATGTGTGCTCTACCGTGAACACTGGAAAGCTCACTTTGTGATGAAGTTTGAGCACGTGATGTTGAGCACACGCGTTGCCCCGGGCCAATTGGCCAGGTATGAACGTGTTGATGCTGTGGTAAATCATGGAGACCGGTTTAAAATTAGTTTTACCGCGGCAAAGGACCCCGGGGGAATCCCCTTTGAGGATTTGTCGGGTAGGGGAGGTGGAAAAACAAATTAGGGGAGTCAATGAACGTGAAGGAATAGCGAGGATTTAATATCACACGTGTTATTGCCGGTGGGTGGCGGGGGATTATTTCGTCTGGAACTATTTCACGGTTTTTTTTTTATTTTTTTGGAGAAATTAGGTTTTTAGCGGTTTTTCATTTTTTTATTGATTATTTTGAAGTGTATAATGCGCGAATGCTGGTTTATAGATAATTTTTTAAAGAATTGTGGAATTTTGGATTTTTCAAAATTTTATTTGACTGAATAATTGTTGATTTTTTTCGGTAAGTTACAAACTCACAGAAAACCATTTTCTATTACAATTGTATTTTAAGCTTTCACGGAAAATGAAATTACCATTCGACATGAAGAACCCAATTTTCTTGAATTTCCAAAGTACATAACAAATTTAACTGACATTTTTAATTGAAATTGAATTTAAACTTGAAATTGAAAATTAAGATAACTTTATGATTAAAATTTCAATAAATATTTATCAGTCCAGATGTAAAACTGAAAGCTATCAAAAAGTTTTTCTAAAAACAAAATAAAAATAATTCCCAAGCCTCTTAAAAAACTAGATACACTTCTCAATATTTGTTTACTCCTAATATTTTATATTAACATTTAATATAAAGATTCTCTCCTACTACCCTCTCTGTATTTTTTCCAAATGAGAAAAAAAATACTTTCCCTCGACCAAAACACTAGATAGAGAGCAGCCATTGAATTATTCACCCCCAAATAACAGAGATGACATTTAATTCAGAAACACCCGATCCTTCATTGAACCCAAATGAGTGGATGACAAACGACGAAAACATCCCCATGCAACCGATAATTTTTCATAGCCACTTTTCTACGCAACAATGCATATTCGTCAGGAGAGAAAGCAATTAACCCTCACTAAGAATGAGAAAAGTGGCTCGCGTGACTATTGAAACGAGCCCTTTTTTATCCCCACACATACTCCTGTACTCCTTGACTAAGTTGGGCACAGACTGGGGCCATAATAATTACGTACCCACTCGGACGTGGCGCGTGCCAAACGTACACCGTAAGCCTCAGGAGAGGTTACGTGGCTCGACGTTTCAAATTATCGCGTGACTATCTTTTATACGTACGTTTGCTCGAGAGTCCGATCACTGCAATCTCCAGTCACCTCACCTTGACACCCACCCTAATATATAACTAATGTTTGGAATAATAATCCAAACAGAACTAACGGGGGATTTAAATTGTTTCTCCCTTTTTTTTCCTTTTTTTTCCTTTTTTTTTCGTTTTTTTTTTTCGTTTTTTTTTCCTTTTTTGGGGGAGGGGGTCGGTTAACCCTTGGTTGTGCGTTTATGACGAATGGGGGAGACTGAGATTGGCTGAGTTATTTATATTTTCTTATGTAGTCCCCCCACCCCCATGCCATTAGGGGTGAGAGCTTTCTGGAAATGCGGAAGCCTCGAATTATGTTGTTCATTTCATTTTTGCAGGTAAACAAGTGGGTAGATGAGTGCGGCTCGGATGGAAAATTGAAGTAATGGCAATTGTAATTTATATTTGATTGAATGAGAATTAATTTTTTTGGATTTATAATGAGTGATTGGATTGAAAATTGAGATCTCAGGATGTTTAGTTCGAGAATTACTGTAATTAGATCATGATTTTTATTTTTAATTTACACTTGAAATTTCAAGGAAAAAGGCTTTTTGGAGGTTTTCGGAGAATTGTTTGTTGATGAATTAGTTAAATTGTTGAATATTCTAAAATAATAATTAAGTAATATATATATTAAGTAATATTAAGTAATATTCTAAAATAATAATAAAGTAATTATCAATTATCACGTGCAAAGGCACTGAAAACCCGTCAATTTTTGAAAATGCAAACAATTCCTCAGAATTTTCAATCTATTAAAAATTCAATTCAATTTGTTCATTGATAAATTAATAATCATTCCACATAAAAACTCTATTCTCTTGAATATCGAATGTCGATTTTTTTTTATCGAACCCACGAAATTTGAAAATATAAAAAAGACACGACAATTAGCAATAATTCTGGTCATTAAATTGCTAATAACTACAATTTGGAAATTGAATTGTTGATAATTAACCCAAAAAATTCACACAGCGGCAGATTTAAAAATGACCGTAATTTCCCAGTAAAAAAAGATATTTTTAAGATAAACTCGTCCCCCAACTGGTCAACGAGAAATCAGAAGTCGTCGAAAGACTAACGTCAACGTCGACGACTTCCAAAGTGGAAATACAATCCCCTGTTATAACCGGGGGGTCCTCTCACCCCGGGTCTCTCATCCCCGTGCCCTTTCTCTCTCTGATTTTTTCTCTTCTTCCGTCGTATGGGGATGGGGCTGTGGAAAAAGGAGGTGAAATGAATGCGAAGCGATACGGAGAGTCAACCATGCGTGAACGTGTCACGCATAGGCACGTGACCATGTATGTACTACCGAAGACATAATATAGAGCTACAATAACCCCTAGGCCACGGACACCCCATACCAATATGCTACATGCCCCCTCTCGCCGCCCCCCC